ATAGGTTGAAAATTTCTAATTGTTATTACTAACTCACACAAGATGATATTTACCAAAAAAACTTTTACCAAACAATTTATTTACCAATAGAAGAATCACTTTTCCGATTTTCTCATTCGTTAGATCTATCTATAGCGCTCGACGCTTCAAACCAGACTGAGTTCAGCTTTGAAAATCTTTTCTTTCAGATTTTATGATTATAAATCTCACTATACAGTGCGTGCTATGTTCGCATACCGATCTTTCTTCTACAAACTTGCCTTATCGCTCTTTTCAAGTGGCGCCTTTGAAATGCTCGGACCGTCGTGAGCACGCCTCTCACGTTCTCGTCAAAACCCGCTGACATTTCTTGTATATATCTTAGTAATTTTACTATATTTTGATTTGATTTCTTGTGCCATTTCAAGAGAAAACTTCAGGGAAACATGCATATGTCTCAAACAGTTGCGCTGAAATAACTCAATTCCCCGTAATCACTAATAAACTTGAATGTCCCACGAGAGGGGACATCCGAGTGATATGCTAGAATTACGATGTCCCACGAGAGGGGACAGCGGAGTGCAAAGGGTTAAAAAGTGTCTACACACCTTTTCGCGGCAGTAATATGCTTAGAGTATATCTCTGTAACAAGTTCGCACGAGTTTGTAGAGCAGCGGTCACAGTTACCGATTGATTTGCGGTTGCAGGAGGCCAATTTAGCGACAACACGCCACCCGTGATGTCGATAGACCGAAATCTGGTGCTTCGGGACACCGAGCCTGTGGGAAGCGTCGTGACTAGGGCCCGCGCCGAGGATAATGAACAGGATCAGCTGACCTATGGTCTGGAATCCATTGGCCACAGCTACAATGGCGATGACAGTCCGCAACCGCCTCTTCCTTTCTTCATCGACAACAGCACTGGCATCATCTACGTCAACGAAACGCTTAAAGAAAGGGTGAGTGCCGTTTTTAATGCCCGGTACCATAATCTGGACGTTGGTGCCCTATGCTTTCTATAGTCTTCAATCGGAATCTGACCTTGGAAGATCGCCCATTTTCTGGTTTGGATACTGCAAAATCTTGAACGCTTTCTCAGCCTGATCTGTCTGTTTTTTTTAATAGCTTGATCTGCTGTTTCATGTTAAATTGACGAAATGGTAAAATATCGTTACGATGGAAGCGTTAAAATGAAAACCTAAGACGAGGTGAGATAAATTTAATGTGTGAGATTATTCGACATTTATTAATTAATTAATTTATTGGATGGGATATAGAGCGTTATTGTGCATTATATATAGATAAGAAAATATCAATCGAATTTACAAAACTAGAATAACGAACGTCTTATTTGAGTACTTGTTTACAATAAAATATTAATTTCGATTAGGTTACATCGGTGATTTCGAGAGCCGATTGCCTACATTTATTGATAGAGTTAGAAAATAAATCAATGTCGCCGCTCACTGAATTAATGTAATTAGAAACTATAGGAATAGTGTCAAAGAATCTAAGGTCAATCTTATAAGCATCTACTCTGAGTAACGGACAGCTGCGCATTGGACGTGAATTAATGTTAAAGTTTATAAGGTCCAATAAAGGGGGGGGGGGGTCAATCAACGATGTTGTTTATAATTTTCAAAACAAATAACATGTCCGCCACAGTTCGTCTGTTCTTTACAGTCGCCATTTTAAGAGTCATTTTAAGAATACATTTACATTGTATATTGCCTGTCCAATATAAATAAATAAATAAATGTGCACTAATCTTATATTAAATTTACCTCATCTCATCTCATCGTAGGTTTTCATTCTTAAAGAAGATATTCACTAATGCTTCCATCGCATTGATATTTTACCATTCCGTCAATTTAATCTGAAACAGCAGATTAAGTTGCAAAAAGAAGCTGGACAGATCAGGGTAAAAAATTACTGTACTTAGCTTGATAGGAAGACGACACACGACACCCGCATATTTAATTATTTGTATCTAACGAAATGGTTCTGCATAGTACACTATTTATTGGGTTGGCAACTAAGTAATTGCCGATTTCAGTTATAGATGTCTCTCACTCCCATTTTTATGATATCCGTAAATGTTGTATTATAAAATTATTATTATTATTATTATTATGTTATTTTTTATTATCCGTGAATATTAGCAACTGGACAAATTGAATGCAGCGGTCAAGGAAAAGCGACCAGAATTGGTCAATCGTAAAGGTGTCATTTTCCACCAGGACAATGCTAGGCCGCACACGTCTTTGTCCACTCGGCAAAAATTGATGGATATTGGTTGGGTACCACTTATTTCGATCCCTGGACAACCCCCTTCGTGGTAAAACATTTAATGACGATGACGCAGTAAAATCCCACTGAACTCAGTTTTTGGCCGAAAAGGATCAGACTTTCTACGAGCGTGGAATTTTCAAGTTGTCAGAGAGATGGCAAAAGGTCATCGAACAAAATGGAAAATACATTACAGATTAAACTTCGTTCCAAGTAAAAAATATTAGGTTGGGGAAAAAGAAATCCATTATTTTTGCGCGAAATTCAAGACTTTATTTAAGATGTTTCGGATTGTCCGATTTGGGTCAAATATGCACCGTTTTGTTGTATAATTTGTTGCCATTTTAAAGGTAGCTTCATAATGCCTCTCTCATAGAAGTCTTGGTCCTTATTGGCGAAAAACTCTAGTAATCGATTTTCACAATCTTCTTTTGATCCTAATTTCTTATCACTCAGGAAATTTTGCAATGCGAGAAGGAGGTGGTAATCGCTTGATGCCAGGTCCGGACTATATGGTGGATGCATTAAAACTTCCCAACCAAGCTCCCGGTGTTTCTGGCGAGTCACTACAGACTTGTATGGCCTTGCGTTGTCCTGATGGAACACAACACCTCTTCTGTTGGCCAATTTTGGCCGTTTCTGGTCAATCGCTAGCTTCAAACGGTCCAGTTCTTGACAGTGGAGATCTGAATTTAGTGTTTGGCCATACGGAAGCAACTCATAATAAATGATTCCTTTCAAGTCCCATCAAATACACAGTAAAACCTCCCTGGCCGTTAGTCCTGGTCTGGCCACCGTTTGAGCTGGTTCACCACACTTTGACCATGATCGTTTTCGCANGCAACTCATAATAAATGATTCCTTTCAAGTCCCATCAAATACACAGTAAAACCTCCCTGGCCGTTAGTCCTGGTTTGGCCACCGTTTGAGCTGGTTCACCACACTTTGACCATGATCGTTTTCGCACAATATTGTCGTATGTGACCCATTTCTCATCCCCAGTCACCATCCGTTTAAGAAATGGGTCGATTTCATTCCGTTTGGCCAAGGCTACGCAGATGGAAATTCGATCCATCATGTTTTTTGGTGTTAATTGGTGTGGCACCCAAACATCGAGCTTCTTTTTGTATCCAGCTTTGCGCAAATGGTTTAAAACTGTTTTATAGTCGATCTTTAGCTCCTGGGCGATGCTACGACTACTAACATGCCGGTCAACTTCGATTATTTCTGTGATTTTATCGA